CTCATTTCTGGTTAAGACTTCAGAATATCACGATATCAAATGTTTCTATGACTCTAAGTTTTCAATTACATTTGATATATTCATATGAAGAGTTCATGGCACAGAATGATGATGAAAATTTTCAAAAAGAACCAAATTTTCTATCTCACTGAAACACTAAAAAAACTCCTACGTGGTTTAATGGAAATCATAAACTGTAATATGGATGCTTCTTTATAGTTACTATGTAAGTTACACATAAACCTTCTCAGCATTAAAGGGTTTATGTTTGAAAGAAAATTCCACTTGGTTAAACTTAACATCATGTTACATAATCATGACATTATGAGGAGGGCCATGTAAGGCTCTTTATTTCAATGCCACTTATAGCTCACTAATCCTTTTTTTTTTTTCTTTTCCCCTCACCACCTCCTCCTTTTCATTTTTTAAAATCAAGTTACAACCAAATCTTAGGATGAAAAGATTTGGTTATAAGCCTATGAAAAAAACTATATAAGATTTGATTTTAAAACAATCTCAAAGTTACTACACCGTGGTTCTCATAAACCAAAAATTAAAATCTGCAGTTAGTACAGGCTGAGTATCTCTTTTCCAAAATGCTCAGCACCAAAGTATTCCAGATTGTTTTACCACCACTGGAATCTATCCTTTCTTGCTAGCAAGCACAAACATCTTGTGAATAGAGTCCAGTGTAAATATGAAATGTATTTGTTTCATATACCACATCCTGCAGGTAATTTTATACAATATTGTTAATAACTATGTGCATGGAACACTTGGTATAAAATTTACCATTTGTGGTATCTTGTCACTGTCACTCCTCAAAAGTTTCAGATTCTCAGGTTAGCGATATGCAACATGTAGTCAGCTTACCAGATCTAGCTTTCAAACAATAAAAGAAGTAGACTCAGAGAGGCAATATTCATGCCTGATAAGGAGACTAATGGAGGTAGAAATGATCTTCTGTATGCCTGAGGAACAGAAAACTGCCTCAAAAAAATAAAGCACTCTAAAGACTAAGGACATAAAACTGGGATAAATTGAACATGTCTACACTATAGAGGCACCAGCACAGACTCCAAAATTTCCATTAACTATTTTGGACATCTTAATTTATGTACAACTTTTAGCAAAGATAGCACAGATAGGACAACTCATTAATTTTCTTTAGAATTTAATTTGGTAATTCAATTAACAGACAGCATAGAGCCAGCAGCCTCATGCTAAGGGAGACACAAAACCTCTGCTGTCTGAGAGATTCATCAGGGGTCCTGAACAAAACAGTGCATACCACCTCAGCAAGAGTAAGTTCTAGCAAAAGAAGGGACACTTGCCAGGAAAGGTGGGGTGTCATTTTTCTAAAAAGCCAAATTTAAGTAAAAGGCTGTCCCAAAAGTAAGCAAAAAAATCCTAATCAAATAAATAAAATGGGCCAATTCACAGGACAGCTGAGAGTAAACGATGTCATTTTAGAGCTAGGGACACAGAAAACTAGAATTAAAGATCAATCTACAGGTAAGCAGAAATCGACAGCCAGTAAAGAAAGAATCAAAAGATGCTAACTGTACTATGACGATGTGCAAGGAACATCATCAAGACCAGTCTTACTGCTGCCTTAGTTACCACTGCTTTCCAACCCAAGTGGGTTTGCACCAAATCCTTCTTTCTCTTGAGGTAATTTGAATCTCTGCTCTCCACAACTGTGAGTCCAACATAAGCTGACCATCAGAATCACTTCCAAGCATTTTTCTCTTTGAGTATATTCTGATTACTCAGTATCACCTTCTAAAATGGCTATAAGCCTCCCTTTCCTGTGATAGAGAATCCAGGTTTATACAAAACTAACAACCAGCCCCCACCCTCCTCAAAATACATATTCACACCCGCTTTTTGTCAGCTGGCTCTTAGGCATCCCCACCTTCTCACACTAGCCCATGTGCTCTTTCAAGCTTTCACTTTCCTACACACACTTTCACACTCTCTCCTACACTCACCCACACAAACAGGAGGGATGACTCTGAAACCCATGCCCAAGTGTCTTAGTTACTTTCTTGTCACTGAGACACAATATCCAACATCCATAACTTAAAGGAGGAAAGGTTTATTTTGGCTCACAGTTTTAGAGGTTTCAGTCCATAGGACAAGAAACGGTGACAGGAAGCAGAGAGATCAAGGAAAGGGGAGACAGACTCTTCCAGGCCACGCCTCAGTGACCCATCTTCTCCACCTAGGCATCTCCTCCCAAATCACACTTAGCTATAAACTCCTCAGGGAACAATCCATTGATAAATACCACACTCCCACGATCTAATTACCTCCCCGAATCCCCATTTATGAGCACATGAGGCTTTGGGAGAAGATCTAGATATAAACGACAACAGTGAACAATCTAAATATTCACTCCATTGGCTTTAATGGTTTCTTCAACACTGTGTACCAGCGAAGCTAGCAAGTCTTCCCCATGGCTGTCATATAATAGTATTAGCAGTAAAACTGCCAGCGTTACAGAGTAACACAGAAAGAAGCACAATCCTAAAGACAGAGTACTTGCAGCCACACCAGCCTTAACACTCAGGACCAAGCCATTCTTTGTACTAAACTTCAGAGTTCAAATTATGAGCTGAAATAAACCTTTCCTCCTTTAACTTTGAGTGTCAGGTATTTTGTCTCAGCAAAAAAAAAATAAGACACCAAAGAACTCTTTATACCTCTACCTATCTGTAGGAGCACAGTAGCATGAACAACCAGAGACTTCTGGTAAGTTTCTTTCCTAATCTTATAAACAAAATAAAGTGAATAGCTAATTAAGAATCCAAATACTAAAAGTTAACCTGTATCTTCACTGTAATTGCCTCTTCTATGATTCCCAAAGATCTCTTGGAAATGGCAAAAAAGGGAACACACCAGCTCACTACTCCATTTTAAAAGCTAACAACACATTTTCCCCATTAAAATGAAATCTTCTGATATGCGCCAAACACACACTCACACATTCAATAGCACTTCTAGTAATTAAATTTATGTCTGCTTTATTTACTGTCTCTTTCCACTAGACACTATGAAAGCAGAAACTGGACAGGTTTTGTTTACAGCACCTGGCAGATGGCAGGTGTGTTACAACAATTTCTAAAAGAATGAATGTAAGGCACCTATTCATGCCTTATTCTATGATCTTTAACATATTTGTCTTAGTACTCATTATCTAGGTACCAAGGAGATACAAAGATTAGATATAAGCTCAGTCCTCAAACAACATGGTTGGCCTGTTTGACCAAAGACCTTTTCTGATTCCTGGTGAAAATATGAGTACTCTACCTAAAACAAACAAACAAACAAACAAAAAAAATTTAAACAAATATAGAAGATTTTCCTTTACATTTCAAAGGATGCCTAAGAACTTCAGATTTAGTGACATAAAGAAGAAGGTAAACATTTTAAAAAGATCGTGTTTTCTCTCATCTTTTTTTTCTTAAAACAGTGTTCTACTGTACAGTTTAGGCTGGCCTCAAACTGAAATCCTCCTCCCCTAACCTACTGAATGCTAAGATTATTTGTGATCTTTTATCCCTCTTAGGTTTTTATACTCTACAAGCAAAACTTTTGAGAGGTAATAAAGATACAAGTTAATGAAATCAAAATGTCTTCCAATACTTTCAGGAAATAGTTATAAATTGGAAACCTTTGCATAAAAAGACCATTAAGAGATATCAACGTGTGTAGCATGAACTCATGAACCACTACACTTAAATACAAGTATTCAATCCGTGAAGCATAAACGAGATAGGAAATTTCTTATTATGGTAGAGAAAAAGAGAAATAATATTGGTAAAGTCCAAAAAACAGTAATGATAAAAGGCACCCAATTACCTCTTGGCTTTTAAATTTTTTTTTCAAATCTAGCATCTTTTTAAGATTATCTTATTATTGCACAATAATTATGCCTAGTGATTCAGGGGTTTGAGGCAATTTAGCTTATATTCTGAAATTCTGCAAAGACTTTCTCCTGGGGTCACAGGTTTCAGCCAAACCACCATTCTCTCAGCACTTTATAGCCTAAGAGGAAATAACATCTCAGAGTTAACTTTGCCAAATGAAACTATCAAGTGACAAAACAGGCCACTACACAATAAATGCATCTTTCTAACTGTATTTGTTTTGTTTTGTTTTTGGTACTGGGGACTGAACTCGGGACCTTGCACTTTTCAAGGTAGGTGGCAGCACCACTGAGCTCAATCCCAAACCCTAACTGTAATTTTTTAAAATGCCTCTAAAATTTCAAGAGAACAGGAATCCTAAATGTTTAACCTGGATTTCATTTTCTACTTCTCTAAAAGCAATCAATTAGAAATATTTCAGTTGCTAATGAGGAAAACTTTTAGACTTGTGGATAAAGATGCAAAGACAAAGGCTATAAATTTATCTAAGAAGTATCTTTTCTCTCTCTTTTTTTGGCTGCAGTGCTGGAGACTGAACTGAGGAGCTTGTGCTCACTCCAGCAGCCCACACACCAAAATTGAACTGAGGGGCTCACATGGAATACACAAAGTTCTACCAACAAAACCCAACCGGGAAGTGTTTTATATGGAAAATAAAAACCTGCCTTGCAAAGGTAAAGACCCAAGTCTGATCCCAGGTACAAAAAAAAAAAAAAACCACCCCAGAAAATAAAACTCAAGT